CCTTGGGGTCTGCAGGAGCCTCAGCGCCCAGACCATCACTCACAGTACCAGCGCGTCTGCCCCAATCACTGAGGGAGGTGGGCATCTCTTCACAGCGATGGGGATGCCACGGTACTGCCAGATGGCAGAATCACCATGCCTGCACGACGATACCTCTCCCCAGTGGTTGGAAGGACTTTGGCGAATCGTCGTCTGACTATAATCGTCGTCTGACTTCATCTTTGAGAATCGACAGAACTGCTGACCCCGGGCCCTCCGCCCTATCCCTCAGAATAGATGTAGACGTCTCACTGTGGATTCTTGGCTCCTAGACTTGCCCTCTCTGAGTCCCCAGAGCCAGCGACTGAGGATGTTTCTCCAGAGCTCTGGGTCCTGTCCTTAGCACCAGGCCTTCTCACCCGGTATCGCCTCTCTTCCTTTGTGCTGAACGGAAGTGATGCTCCAGAAGCAGCCTTGGGTTCCTGCCCGCAGGAAGATGATGATGCCCAGCCATCAAGCCACGCCTGGTTGCCTCTGGGGTGGTCCATGAAGTGGGAGGGGGATTGGCACGGGTCCCTTTAGAGCAGGGGTTCTCAAGCTTCCTCATGCCGTGATCCTTTCATACAGTTCTTCATGTGGTGGGGGGACCCCCAACCATCACATTATTTTCATTGCTAGTTCATCACTGTCATTTTGCTACTGTCATGAATCCGGCAACCCCTGTGAAAAGGTCGTTCATCCCCAAAGGGGTCGCGACCCACAGGTTGAGAACTGCTGCTGGAGAGCCACGTATAACCCTGCTCCCATGCCCCAGGGGTATACAAACAACAGAAACATGGGTGAAGGGAGACAGTGGGTGGTACAAAATATGAAAATAAAAATTTTCAATGTATCATGGGTTCATGGGGAGTGGGGGAGGAAAAAAAAGAGGAGCCAATACCAAAGGCTCAAGTAGAAAGAAAATGTTTTGGAAATGATGATGGCAACCTATGTACGAATATACTTGATACAATGGATGTATGGATTGTGGTAAGAGCTGTAAGAGCCCCTAATGAAATGATTTATTAATGAAAAAAAATAAAATATAAAGAGTGAAACAAATCATAATGGGGGGAACCCAACAACCCTTACGGAGTGGTTTTTCTCTGCAACCCATAAGGACACCATGAGCTAGCACTGAGGGGCCAGCAGAGAGTGGGTCGTTTGGGTCTGTCCTATTCGGACCAGGAAGATTTGGGGGATGAGCAAAGAGCCCATCACAGGTCTGAAGGTCTAGGGCATGTGATCGTCTCCTTCCTCAGCCTTGGAGCTCACAGCCCAACTGCAGGAGGAATGGAATCAACCAAACCATGGATGTGAGCACTGATGGAAATGGTCTGTCTCGAGCCAGTCAGGGTGCAGTGTGGCAGCGATGAAACATGCAACTTTCCTCTCGTTCTTAAATGCTTCCTCCCCACCCACTATCATGATCCCAATTCTACCTTGCAAATCTGGCTAGACCAGAGGATGTACACTGGTACAGATAGGAACTGGAA